AGTAGAAGTAAGTTCGTAGGATGGTCTCAAGACGTTTGTCGTTCAATCTGGGGTATTATTGGTTGGTGGATAATATGATCCAACCTTTGAAAGAGACTTGAAAATGATTTCGGAGTTAAATTTACCCTAGTCCAATAACTTGACTAGAGTGGGTTTCAGATAGACTCCATGATAGTATGATGAAAGTATTTGAACAAAGAGTGACATGGAAGTTAGCCGACTGTCAATATCATCGATGTTTAAGATGTAATAAGTTCAAGAAAATTGACCTTGTAGTAGGTCTTACATCATATACGGAGTAGAAAAGTCTTTGACAACATAAAGACCTAACTAAAAGTACTTACAGTACAAGGTAGTCACATAGGAAGGTGCTACATAGAACATAGACAGGAACATGGTTCTTTTAAAACAAAGAAGGAAAGTAAAGCATCTCCTACTGGCGACGGTCACCCCTATGGTGAACCCTTAGTTCAGCTAGTTGACGTTCCATATCAAGCAGGTATCTTTCGTACACCCTCTGGCGTACTCGGAGCTCTATAACTTCTGCTCGAGTTTCAGCTAGGGCTTGCAGCAGGGTCTCATGGTTTCTCTCAGATCTCTCATGAGTGTGTTCAAGGCGATTGGTGCGGGTGGTATGCATTCATGCATTGGAATCAACCTCTGCGATACTATGGAGAGCCGTCTTGCCCTGAATTTCGTTTCGGGCAACTCTTCGGATCAGGATTGGTAGAACTCTGTCTGCTAAGCTCCCTTCGTTTATGTTGTAGAAGCTTCGGTCTCCATTAAACAGCATAGGTTGATCTTGCTCTCCGCTCCATGTTTCCAAGCATTCTACCCAAGGAGGTGTCGGGCCATGAAAAGTCGGACGAGGGTTAGGATTTAGAATGGGAGCTACCGGAGGTAGGTTCTCAATCTCAGGTTCGGAGTCATCATCATCCGAAAGGTCTTCAGCATGGTGATCATTCAAAGGGATTGGATGATCATTCTCGGGTTCTTCTCCAAACCATCCAGCATTTCCTTCGTTCGGAAGGTACGGATTGCCGTGGTGATGGAGTCCATCCATGTTATCTACGCGATAATTGGGGTAGAAAATAATTATTAGACGAACTATCTAGATAATTATTAGATAATCTTCAATAGTTACATCACTACTTGTAAAATGCATACCAGTTATATGTAATCAAAACAGGATAGACCTTCGAATAAGTGACCTTAACTCCAAATTCACAAGGAATAGGGGTAAAGCAAAAAATTCACAGATTCTAACTCTATGACATCCTAGTTACATATAACTTTGGTGTATCCACTTAGCAACTATCAACTTAGTAATGAAGACCCATTTTAGTTCTCAAGTAAGTAATTATAGTAACACAAAATACTCCTATAGTATTTTAGACTTAGGTTCTGTTATAATGTTCTCATTGTGGTAGTGTTGGTAAGTTTTTAGACTTGTTGCCACATCACAACCATTCTTGGGCGTGTGCTAATCACTCATCAGACCAGCATAGGTGATCAGGCTATGCCACTCCCAAGACTGGCCATACATCCCCAAGCTTACTTGTGATATTCAACAATCGTAATACTTTTGTTCTTGTCATTGTGACATGGATTTTAGTATGAATGCAGGTATGTATACTTAGTTAAATATTTTATTATTTAAAAGTATAAACTCTTGGTCAGAGTATTTTTAATCCCATTGTATTTATAGTTAGTATATCTTTTATGGGTTGATATACTCAATTCACTATAAACAATGCTCTGATACCAATCTATCACACCCCAAAACCGAGAACAGCGGAAACGTTCTGGGGCAGAGGACGTCATGTAATGTATCACAACAATGTAAAGTAATAAACAAGCAACAACATCATCCATTTCATTAATAGTATAATTTTAAATACATGCGTGTTCTTTCATAGTATAAAACAACATAATGAATAATCAAAATAAAAGACGAGTCTTGATTGCTCCGTCTTCACAAAACCTGGTCGTCGTACCTGTCTATTTGTGATCTGAGAATACAAGTTATTTTGAAAGCAAGTATCAGCAATAAAGCTGATGAATTCATAGTATTTATGTGTCTT